AGAATAAAAAAGAGTGAAAAGAATTTCCCCAATAGGGGATTAATAAAGTATCTATCTATCTATCTATCCATCCATCCGGCAACAGATGTTAAGCTAGCCAGCTGACTGGTTGAGATATGCTCCAAAGCAAGAAGTGTTTGAATGATGCTGCGTCATAGTGCAACCTATTTAAGGACAAGCGGTTCTACCCAGCGCAGATGTCGCAATTACCAGCCATTCAGGATTGCTGCAATGAGATACATGCTTCTGAAGAATACGCAGGGAGGCATATCCCATAGTAAAACATTGAAACAAATGATTGGTGTCTGCTGTCTTAAGCTGGAGTGATCCGCTGATTTAAAAGACAAGTGTGGCCTGGTAATGAAAGTTGTTTGTATGGGACTGGGGACCACAGAGAGGCTCAGTGGGTCTGGTAGAGGATTGAGGCTGAGTCAGTTGGGCAGTTTATCCACCAAACACAACCTTTCTTTTAGCGAGGTCCCAACACTCGCTTGCCTGCAACCTCAGTGAACCTTACACGAGAGGCGAGTTGAGGGTAAATGAACACACACATGAACAAGACAATGCAAAATTACTTGGCCAAAAACATACTCATGGATTCAAAGGTTCATTGCAAAAAGAGTGTGGTTGTGAATTCAAATTCCCTGTCAGGATAAAGGAACAAGGGCACAAAAATCCACAAGAGCCTCAGATAACAACAGCAGCTATCAAACCCAAACACAAGCACAATTTTCAAATGTTGGACTTTGTGTGTCTCCAAGGAATCCAACTAGGCAGGCTGTTGCTGTGAAATACTGTTGTTAGAGTGCCGAAAGCCCTCACTGCTCCACAACACTTCATTGATTATCACCAGAGGTTACTTACTCAGAAACTCGCCGTTTGTCAAAGCTATAATCAGTGGTCCATTATCAATGCACACTATTTCACAACAAAGGAGTACACAGAGTCCAATATATTGAGGGGAAATAGCTCTGACAATGACTAGTCAGATATAACTCTGAAGCTGACAAGTCAGATATGTGCTCACATAAACTTGTCTAACTAGAGGAACTACAGTTGACACCTGAGTCAGACTGCAGGACTGTTTAAGTCTGGCCAAGCTTTTAACATATTCATCCCACATAATGACACACCACACCTACTGGATTGTGTCATTCAGAAATGCTCTCATTCATTTAGAAAATACTCAAAAAGCCAGAGTATAATCTTTATGCAGGATTTATGCTGTTCTTTTGTTAATCATGGTGTTTGTTGATGCCGTTTCCCTCCTGTTTCATATTGTTTATTTTTAAAAAGAAAGAAAGAAAGAAGATAACCTGTAGTGTATGCACACCTGATGACATTACTATAGTTATAAGAAAAGAAAGAACAGTTCTGACTCTGACAGGAAGCCTATCAAAAGATTTGCTTAAAAATTGAATATATTTTCTTTTTTTTTTTACTAATAATTTATCAGCTATAAATTGATTATCAGAATAATACATACAATATCATACAAGTTTCCCATTGTCAACTAATAATTTAATCTGCCTCATTAATTGTGCATATTTACAAACAAGCACCACCTTCATGGTCATTATAAAGAATTATTGCACTTGACCATGAAATAAAACTGGCATGAATAAGGTTCCAGTGTAAGAGGTGTTTGAAAATTGAGCAGTTGCAGATGCATTTAATACCCAATGCAATACGTTTACTTAATTCATTGTTGTCTGTACTATGCATGTTGTATTATTTATTATTGTTTGTATTAAGATTTACTATGATGTGCAATAAAGTTGGTTATTATTAAACACTGACATTAAGAGAAAATGAGACAACAAGAGAAACCCAGTCAGCTGAAGGTTACAAGGCAACTGATGTGTACAGAGGGAATTTCCCAAACCTCCACAACCTGTGCTGTACTACACTGTAGAGAAGCACATATGGGGGTTTGATAAAAAATTCATTGGCAAATGAATGAGACAGTGTGCCAC